GTCTCTAATATCTACAGACATTTTCATTATGCTAAATTCACTGAAATTAGAAAAAAAAAATTCATGTACTTCCCACATTCAAAATATATCCACCCCATTCCAGTCATTACAGTATCGCTTCTGAGTCCAAAATCTTATATATAAATATCATCAAATAAAAGTCTCACATCTCATAGTCTAATTCAAGTACAGGTTAAGACTTAGGTATCACTCAAGCTGGAGCAAAATTCTTCTCTATCTCTGAATATGTGAGACCAGACAAATCTAAAGCCTAGCAGGACAAATTCTATTAGATTCTTATGACTTGAGAATCTACTTCACTGGGGCACCTGGGTGGCTCAGTGGGTTAAAGCCTCTGCCGTTGGCTCGGGTCATGATCTCATGGACCTGGGATCAAGCCCCGCATCGGGCTCTCTGCTCAGCAGGGAGCCTGCTTCCTCTTCTCTCTCTCTGCCTCTCTGCCTACTTGTGATCTCTGTCAAATAAATAAAATCTTAAAAAAAAAGAAGAATCTACTTAATTGGCTGGATGCTCCACCCTCCAGTTCTGCTAGGGTGGTAGTTTTGCCCCCACCACCTCACTTATTGGAACTGAGGTGTTGTCCTCATGCTCTGGAACCCAGGAGGCTGAACGTCCTGGAACAGAGGATGAGACTGTCCTGCCTCTCAGGCTGTGCCCTCTGGGCTTCTGGTGGCATTGGCAGACAAGACAGCCCCTGAACCACCTTTGGGGTCATTATTCCTTTTTCTTGAAAGATAACACATGTTTAGGGCTGATAGCCTGGTCAGCTCACTTCCTGCCTAAAACATCACACAAATCCAGCAGCCTTCCTTCTTCCTGTCTCTGTCCCCTTAAGTTCAAGCTGGTAGTGTTTCTACTGAATTGACTGATTGGATCCACAAGTCACTTGCCCGTAATCTCTTCAGCAGTGTCTAGCCACATCCTTGGTGTCCTCTCTTATGTATCCATTCTTATTGTTTACAATATGGATAGACTGAGAATTTTTAAAATACTTCAAGTTCTGGTTTCTTTATGTTTAGCAGTTCTTTGTCTCTTCTCGTGTTTTTTCATAAACAACAAGGAGAAACCAAACTGCACATTCAACATTTTGCTTAGAGGTCTCTTCAGCTATATATTAATGTTCTACTTTCTGTCCAACAGAACACAATTCAACCAAGTTCTCTACCACTTTATATCAAGGATTTCCTTTCTTCCAGTTTCCAATAGCATGTTCCTCATTTCTGTCTGAGATCTTACCAGAAGCACCTTTAACATTCATATTTCTACCAGAATTCTTTTCAAGACAGTCTGGACTTTTTCATTCAAGCACTTCATTACCTAATTCCAAAATCACACCCACATTTTAGGTATTTGTTACAGCAACACCCTACTTCTCAAAACCAAAATCTGTATTCATTTCCTAGGGCTGCAATAACAAAGTTACACAGATAAGGTTGCTTAAAGAACATAAATTTATAGTCCCATAGTTCTGGAATTTTGAAGTGTGAGATCAAGGTGTCAGTAGGGTATGTTCCTTCTTAGGGTTGTGAATGATAAATTATTCCATTCCTTTATCCTACTTTCTGATGCTTAGTTGGAAATTTTGGTGGTCTGTGACTTCTGCTGCATCACCTTAATCTCTGTCTTGATCTTCTCATGGATTCTCCTCTGTTTGCCTCTGTACCAAATCTTTCCCTTTTAATAACATCAATCATATTTTATTAAGGCCTATCCTGGGGCACCTGGGTGGCTCAGTGGGTTAAAGCCTCTGCCTTCAGCTCAGGTCATGATCCCAGGGTCCTGGGATCGAGCCCCACATTGGGCTCTCTACTGGGCAGGGAGCCTACTTCCCCCCACCCCCGCCACCCCCCGCCTGCCTCTCTGCCTATTTGTGATCTCTGTCAGATAAATATATAAAATCTTAAAAAAAAAAAAAAAAAAAGCCCTATCCTAATGACCTCATTTTAACTTGATTATCTGTTAATACTCTGTCTCCAAATAAGGTCACATTCTCAGGTTGTGACTCCAACATATCCTGGAGATACAAGTCAACCCATAACATTGATTCATGTCCATCAAATTTGGGACGTTTTCAGCCATTATGTCTTCAGATAATCTTTCTGTTCCTTTTTCCTTCTGGAATTCCCATAATGTATATATTAATATGTATAATGGTGCCCTTGGCCTCTGTTCAAGTCCTTTAGCCTCTCTTCCCTTTACACTTTTTCCCACTGATCCTTTCTTATGCTTGTTTCAGATATGCTGTTGAATCCCTCTGGTGTATTTTTCACTTCAGTTATTATACTTTTCAGCTCCAGAATTTGTTTGATTCCTTTTTATAATTTCTCTTTGCTGGTATTTTCATCTTGGTTCTTTATTATTTTCCTGGTTTCCTCTAGTTCTTTATCCCTGTGTTCCTTTCTTCTTTAGTTCTTTATCCATGTGTTCCTTTCTTCTTTGAACATATTTAAGACAGTTGTTCTGAAGTTTTTGTTTAGTATGTCCTTTATCTGGGCTTCTTTGAGGGTGGTTTCTGTTTTGTTCCCATGAATGAGCCATGTTATCTTTTTTCTTTGTATTTCTTCTGATTTTTTGTTGAAAATTGGACATTTGACTATTAGAATGTGGTGACTTTGAAAATAAGATTCCCCACCTTCCTAGGATTTGCTGGATTTTCTTATTGTTGAAGACTACAGTGGTTGGTTAGTTTTGAGACTATTTCAAACGATTTTTTCAAAGACTATTCCTTGCATGTGATCACTGAAGTATCTATTCCTTTAGCTTGTGACAGAGATTTATTTGAATGCCAGAAGCTTGATTGGGCGTTTGCTTGGTTGCTATAAACCTTTGACTTTTTCATAGTTCTGACAAAGTTCATAAGGCTTTTCTCCCCTCCCCCCCTCTTTTTTCCCCATTGTTTCTATGGGGGAACAAGAGCTTAGAGCATCTTAGTCTACTATTTTGCTGATGTCACTCCTCTGTGCACTTTTTCACTGTTCACTTTGGATGGAAGAATATGAATGAAACCTACTTAGAAATAAGTTAAAAAAAATTGAAGGTTTTTGAAGTAATTTAAATGAAATAAGAAAAGACAGATTCACAAAATTTCCATTTGCATTATAATACTTAGAAAAGAGGAAATCTTCATTTTTTGCTATTTGACATAGATTTTAAAATATTTTTAACCTTAAGAATTGGTATTTGGAGAGGTAAACAGACATTTATCCTTGGTATTTTGAGTTTGTTTTTTTTTTTTTTTAGTGGGGGAACTATGTTTTAGATACTATAGGAACTTTAAGAACTTAAATAACAAAATAGCCTTATTAATAAGAGAAATCTCTAGTTTACTCAATGTAGTCATTTTATAAACCCTACTGAAATTACTGATTTAAAGAATGATCAATTCACTTTAAAATCATGAGATGGAAGGTTGATGGGAAACTGAACATTCATATAATGCCAAAGTATTATTAAATGAATTACATAACTGTACAATAGAGGGATCAGAATCATCACCCCAGTCTGTAGGTGAATCTTAGCATGTTATTACTGAGTCAGTAATGTTTTATCTTTTGGTATATTGCAACCTACATATACTTAAGATGTATTCTGGCCAAAAAAGGCTTGAATCCACCAAACCTATAGGTAGAACTTCTGGCTTTGGGGAAATTTCAGGAGACAGACCTCACTTAATGGAGGAACAAGCTAAATAATAGTATGAGGATGTAACCACATAAATCCAGAAGATGGAGCATTCTACAGAAAAATAGCAGGCTTTCTTCAGCAAGACCTAGTCATTAAAAGAAAAAAAAAAGGACTACACTAGATTCTAAAATATTTATGGAGATACTAAATATAATGTGTAGTCTTGAATTTGATACTAGTTTGGGTCATTTAAGGATATCTAAACATGGCCAAAAAGTACTAATGTGAATACTTAAACAGAAAAGTGAGAATTGATGGAAAATGCAAATTATCACACTGTAATCAAATTTCACACTGTAAGATAACATCTCACTTTTGTTTTTAAAAATATGGAAAGTTTGTGTGTGTATAAGAAAGGAGTCTGGAACAACAAATGTTGGCAAAGATGTAGAGGAAGGGGAACCCTCTTACACTGTTGGTGGGAATGCAAGCTGGTGCAGCCACTCTGGAAAACAGTATGGAGGTTCCTCAAGAAGTTGAAAATAGAGCTACCCTATGACCCAGCAATTGCCCTACTGGGTATTTACTCCAATTTACTTATAGCTATAGTGAAAAGAAGGGGCACATGCACCCCGATGTTCATAGCAGCAATCCACAGTAGCCAAACTGTGGAAGGAGATGAGGTGTTCTTCAACAGATGAATGGATAAAGATGATGTGGTTCATATATATATAATGGACTATTACTCAGCCTTTAGAAAGGACGAATACCTACCATTTGCCTCAACATGGATGGAAGTGGGGGATACTGTGCTAAGTGAAATAAGTCAAGCGGAGAAAGACCATTATCATATGGTTTTACTCGTGACATATAAGAAATAGCATATATGTTATATATATAAGAGGATCATGGGGAGGGGAGGGAAAACGGAATGGGAAGAAATCAGGGAGACAAACTATGAGAGACTCTTAACTATAGGATACAAACTGAGGGATGTGAAAAGGTAGGAGGGTAGCGAGGTAGAATAACTGGGTGATGGGCATTAAGGAGGGCATGTGATGGGATGAGCACTAATGATGTACTATATGTTGGCTAATGGAATTTAAATTTTTAAAAAAGGATCTAGAAGGATATACACTTAAGATACCTGAAGAAATGTGATTTTTAAAAAAATTTTGTTATGTCCATATTTGCTAATTCTATATACTGCTTCTGTAATAAAATATTACAAATATAAATTACATAACAATTGATTTGTCTGATCCCAATAATTTTTTAAGCAGTACTTACAATACATGCTACATTTAAATTTTGTTTCTTTGAAACTATAGTGTTTTAATCCTTTTATTTCTTAGATAGAGAGCCTGGATTTTTTATTTTTACTAAAAACAATTGAGGAATTTTATAAAAGTGAAGATGGAGAAAATCTGGAAATCCTCTGTCCAGTTCAAGGTCAAGCCTGTGTAGCTAAATTTGAAGATGGAGTTTGGTACCGAGCAAAAGTTACTGGTAGGAGATTGCACACTATTTCTACAGGGAAAAGTTATGCTTAAAAACTGAAACCATTTGAGTTGGTACAAATTAAATCATAGAAGTGATATTTTTTGATCTTACCCATTTTGCTCAGTTATCTTTAAAAAACTATTGGTACCCCTGGGGCTAATAATACATTATATGTTAATTTTTAAAAAAAGAAATAAAATGGGAAAAAAAAAAAACTAGTGGTAATGTTGGGAGGTAACTCTCTAAGTCCTTAGATTTTTATTTGACTAGCCCTTAATTTATTTTTTTGTTGTTATTTTCTAATGTGTGCCTTATTTAAAAAGTTAAATGGTGCTAAACAACTTAGACTGTACTCCTCAAAGGCAAATATTTTAGGGTTGCCTGGCTGGCTCAATTGGAAGAGCATGGAACTCTTAATCTCAGGGTTGTGAGTTTGAGCCTCATGTGGAATGTAGAGATTACTTAAAAAATACTTTAAATTCTTTCAACTGTTTCTTTTGGTATTTATCTGTGGTATTACTTCTAAATATGTAATACTTTGTTGATATTTTACTCTCAGAAAGTGTCTGTTCTTATTAAGGCAGGTAGCAGTTTTAGATTTCTTTGAGCTCTTTTATCCCCTCCCCACCCCGTCACCATAGTTTATCACAATTTTAGTTAATCCATATTCTGCATAAATATTTTCACTAAGTCATAAAAAATAATTTATTTCTATTTCAAGTTAATGCATCACTTTTTCACTTTATTTTCTTAAGATTTATGGCTACATTTTCCTAATTATTAAAAACAATTTTCCACATGTTTGACTTTTCAGGTAATGTTAGTTGGTTTTTGTTTTTTGTTTTTTCTAGTGGTGAAAACATCTTTTTTTTTTTTTTTAAAGATTTTATTTATCTGACAGAGCGGGATCACAAGTAGGCAGAGAGGCAGGCAGAGAGAGAGGAGGGAAGCAGGCTCCCTGCTGAGCAGAGAGGCTGATGTAGGGCTGGATCCCAGGACCTCTGAGACCATGACCTGAGCCAAAGGCAGAGGCTTAATCCACTGAGCCATCCAGGCGCCCCATGAAAACACCTTTCTATCTTCTCCAGTTGGACTGCTAGTCCTCTAAGCTTATTACACTTTTGTTATTCAGAGAATTTATTTCATTTTGCAATATACTTTTTTTTTTCTCCCTGTATTGGATCCCTTGTTTTATGGATCCTATGTTTACTTCTTCAGTTTATTCCCCTGTTTTTTGGGGGAGCATCTTCTGATTGTTTCCTCAGAATAAATGGAAGTAAGTTTTGACACCTTTCAGGGATGCTTGGGTGGATTAGTGGATTAGGCAGCTGCCTTATGCTAAGGTCATGATCCTCAGGGTGCTGGGATCCAGTTACACACATCGGGCTCCCTGCTGGGTGAGGAGCCTGCTTCTCCTTCTGCCTCTGCCTCCCACTCCCCCTGCTTGTGCTCTCTCTCTCTCTCAAATAAATAAATAAAATCTTTAAAAAAAAATTTTTTTGAGGCCTTTCATGTCTCCTCTCTCTCATACTGATTGATAATTTGGGTAAAAAAAAAAAATGTTCTTTAAATTTTTTCTCCTGTGTTCTTTTTATCTCTTGTCTTTAAATTTTATCTCCTGTCTTATCTCCTGTTCTTTCAATTTTATCTCCTGTTTGTTTTGTCTAAAACTATATCTCCATTCAGAGACTTGAGGAATAATAAGAATCTAATGGCACTAGTACAGTTAAGAATATCCTTCTAGCGTGAGAATTCCGGAAGTGTGGAGGGATTCCCTCATCTTATTATTATACTTATAATAACATGTGTCTTCTCAGTTACTGCAGATACCAGTTACCACAGGGCCTAAGTTGTTTGAAGTGTCCTCTTGAATACCAGTGTTGTTCCATATGTTTCCATTTCTGCTAAGGAGCAGAGAATGCCTATATTTTTTCCATTTTTGAAATTATGTATACGGTACTACTCCTTAAATTTGAAAATGGTGGCAACCAGTTTAATAGAATTATACATAGGTATGATAAGAGAGGCTAAAGTCAGCCATATATTTTGAGTGTTTTCAAAAAGGTCAGTGTGATAGGTTTTCGTTCAGACTTCTGTATGTTTGAACATTTTAGGGGATTCATTGGTATCCTGTAAAATATAGAGACTAGATTGACACGGAGGTCTGTCTTTGCTTATTGTTCACAATATTCCCCAAAATAATTTTTTTTTAATTTCAGTTAGGTATCATCATATGAATGAATCTTTAGTTTGATTATTAAATCTTTTGCTTTAGTCACCTTTGTTGACTAACAGTAAACATTTAGTAAGTCCATGCTTACTATGGTGCTTTGCAAATTACTTTAAATAGATGAATCCTCAAAAAAAGTAAGTCTTACGAGATTGGATTCTACTGGTATGCCCATTTTACGAATGAGATAGTGAGGCTTGGAGAGAAAAAGGAACTTGCTCGGACTAATATTTTAGAAAGAGTGATTAGCTTGCTTAGAGTCACATGGAATTTGACTGGATTCTAATCCAGTCAGACTTAATGCCTAGTTTTAATTTTTAGGCCACAACACCTAGCATTTGATAGCTGTGTTGTTATCCTGGTTTTGATTGTCCTCTGGATATCTTAAAATTGTTAATATCTCAAGTCTGAATGACTGTGCATTATGGTTGATATTTTTTAGGTCCACATATTAGAAATTGTTTTATGTTTAAAAAAGTATTAGGTTTATATGTTGATCATAAAAGTATTCTAACATAGTTGAATGTCCCGTCTAAATTTTGCTAGATAACTCTCTGTTTTCTTTCCAAGTTTATGATCTCTAATTCAATAATTTTTGAAGGATTGCCTGGACATCGTGAAGTTGAAGTTAAATATGTGGACTTTGGCAATACTGCAAAAATAACACTTAAAGAAATGCGTAAAATAAAAGATGAGTTTCTAAATCCCCCAGAGAAGGTAATCTACTTATTGTGAGTCATAGGGTCAGAATATTAACACAATTGTGACAGTATTTTTAGAAATCATTTTTATCATAGAAATGCTCTGTTAACTAACATTTTTGTCTGTAAATAATTTGATACATGGGATATAGAAAAGAGTTGCTGTCATTACTGTAATTTCCTATATAGCAGCCATAAGTTGTTAAGATGTATGTATATCTTAGCAAATAAGCATTAATTATAAATGTATATCTGTATGTATGTTTGTCTTCATAGGTTTTTACTGGTCTCCAGATCTCAATGTTATTTTGAAAACCTGTATAATGTGGTAGGAAGGTGATAGATTTTGTGTGAAAATCTCAGAAGTATTTTTACTGCAATTCCATTTATGTTTAAGTATATATAACATGTCCAAGAGAAAGAGAAGTCTGGAAAAATAAGTAAAAAATTATCTTTCTCTTGGAATCTTATGCCTCAGAGATAAAGAAGGTTAATGGGGCTTATTTTCTAACTCATTTTACACTTAGGCATTTGAATTATTGTTAAACAATATTTTTCATTTTAAAAATGGGTAAACTAGGAAAAACTTGAAAATATAAATAAAAAGGACTCATTCAGAACTATTGAATGTTTTTATAAATACAATTCTAATTCTAAGATGTGTCTTCTATTTAGCAATTATAGGATTAGAAAAATAGTCCTGTAACCTGCTTTTCTCATTTAACAGTATATAATGAGTATCTGTAATTTTTTCAGTACATGCTTGTTATATTGGTGTCTGAATGTGCAATAATTCTACCAAATGATCTGTTGACTCTAGTTATTGCCATTTATAAAATATTTTATAGATACCTTTTGCACATTTATTTTCAGATTATATATTCAGAGTTTTTTTGTACACATATAAAATTTTAATTCTAAAATAACTAGAAATTTCACCTTTTCTTAATGGTGCAATTTTGTTTGACACAGGCAATTAAATGTAAGCTGGCCTATATTGAACCCTGTGTAAAGACAATGCAGTGGTCCAAAAAAGCTAAGGAAAAATTTGAAGAAAAGACTCAAGATAAATTTATGACATGTTCAGTCATCAGTAAGCTATTTCATTTTTATTTGTTGCTATGTAATTATATATAATTTTAAATAAGGATAACATAATACATTTGCTTGATCTTAGCTAAATTCAGTGTGTCATCAATGAGACTAGTAAGAGAGAACATTTATTGAGAATTAGCTATAGTGGATATAATTGCAGGCTGTAGAGTATAAAATCAGTACAAGGCAAAAATTAGCATTAAAGATCAAGTTATGCTAGGGGTGCCTGGATGGCTCACTTGGTGGAGTGTGGGACTCTTGATCTTTGAGTTGTAGGTTCAAGCCCCACATTGGGTGTAGAGATTACTTAAAAATAAAATCTTAAAAAAAAATCAGTCATTCTAGATATGGCCTCTTGAATTCCCTAAAGCCAGGAATTAGCTTCTCTTATTTCATTTACATTTCTGCAGTGGTTCTTTCCTGATTTTGGCATGATGAATGTTAAAGTTTAATGTGCAGGAAAGTGAGGGGAGGTGGGACATAATTGTTAAATAGTTTTCATATGTTTTTTTCATTTCATTTTACTTAAGTGAATTCAACTGTAGCCTCTCCCCATATTTTAAAAAAAGTCATTTCTTTTTTGGACTAGTTTGGGCC